AACATTACATAGAACGGTACATATAGAACATTACATAGAACAGTACATATAGAACATTACATAGAACAGTACATATAGAACATTACATAGAACGGTACATATAGAACATTAAATGCTTTTGCTAGCCATTTAAAATTATTGACCTTTTTTGTTTTAAAGAAACAATCATTCCTTATGTGTTAAACAGAATCTCACGTTAAAAAAGTTATCCTTTTGTAAATTAAAAATATTAAGAATTGAACCTAAATGTTAAACGTCTCATAAAAAACAAAACTTACAAACGGCATCATTTCGTGCACACTTGACTATTGAATAGAATCTAAGGTCATTTTTACTTCTGTTTTGGGAGAGCCCATCCTTGTTTACAGTGCTTTATCAAAAACAAAGCATTTTCATTTTTTTAAAAGGAATATCTGATTCAACACACAAAGCAACAAAATCAGATAAACTCACGCCTCGTTTACTGATGTAGCTGAGTATTGTAGAGTTGGCAGATGTGCCTGTCTCGTGCTAGCTTGCTTCTTCTTCTGTTTCAGATGTGAGTCAGACTGTAAGTGGTCATCACATAGTTTTACACGTCCAGTTTACCGTGTGTTGACAAAACTTACAGAAACCTTGTTCTCCAGATTCATAGAAAATGCTGGGGTATTGTTCTGCCCTCAAATTAACACAAAGCTTCATGTTTTTGGAGGATTTTGGTGCTTCAGCGAGCCTCTTTGTCACGGCTGACTTTAGGAGAGCTCACCCCACATGTACGTAACCAGGTAATGACAGGTACAGGGCGTCGTTACAGAGGCCAAAATACCTCAGAAACTCCACCAAGTGACAGAATTCTGTAAGAATCCATGTGTTGTAATTCCATTTTGTWTGATAAATTCCATTTTCCTCATCACAGAAATCATAGGGCCCTAGAATTACCATTTATTAGAGCTTTTTATGGAAAAAAACATACATAATGTTTTGAATAATCTGGTCAAAACGTTGTGCAGAGTTGCTGATTCAAAGATTCCATAGACAACAGAAGATTTGTTTATGGTGCGTTCTTACCACTGAAGACATTACTTTAAACAATTGTAGAAATGACAGTGCATGCTATCCAAAACCTTGAGGACTGCAGACAAGACTATAATCTTATGTGTGATGATTGCTGTTGTTACGTCTATTGCTACTCCTAAAAACAACTTCAGTCTCCCTGTGTTGCATTTAGGGCTGCACCGATTAGTTGAAATAATCGATGACGTAGAATATGTAAATTTGTCGATGCCGATTTTTTATTATCGATTCGCTGTATTACATAACCACCACGTTCATGCAATTCCATTTCGGTACCTAAAAGCATCATTGCGACCGTATTGGCA